AGATTCAGGCAAACGCTGCAGGAGTCATCATGTACACAGTGATCATCACTGCAGGTACACACACACACACACACACACACACACACACACACACACACACACACACACACACACACACACATCACTTTAACTGTTCTCTGACCAATCAATGTTTGTCTACCAGCTTCATGTGTGACTCTAAAAACTACCCATGAGCCTCAGCTTCTGTGAATTAGAGTTGGTTGGTTTGACCTTTAGCTTCAGTAACTGACTGTTAAAGTCTGTGATTTTGTCAGTGAAATGCACCCTGGGAGTTGTAGTTGACTTCAGTTCAGACCGTCGTCCTCCTGCAGGGAAGCAGCAGTGTCTTGACCTGGATATCGTCCCTGTCCTCCTGCACTTGCTATCCATCCAGAGACAGGAGGATGAGGAGGCGGAGAGGAGGCCGAGGAGGAAGGCTCTCGTGGTGTACGCCCTGCGGGCTCTGACCTCGCTGGCAGAGGCTCCAGACGGCCGCCGCCTCCTGCTGGAGCAGCTCCCCGTGCTGAAGAGTCGGAGTGAGGCAACAGAGGAGGACGATGACATCCGGCGGGCCGCTCAGACCGTGGTCAGGGTCGTCACCTGGACCCCCTGAGACCCTGATGACCTCTGACCTCCAGATTTTCAGTTCACCTCAGCTGAGAAATAAATGACATGATGAACTTCATGGATTTTATTTATAACATGATAAAATAATTCTGTCTTTCATTGTATTTACATTTTTGTGACTGTGAATAAAGATGGACGACATAGCAGCTCCAAAAATGTCTCAGTCTCCCCCTGCTGTCTGACTGCAGTATAGCTCATAACCCCTCCTCCCCCATGTTAGCAGATGGGACATGAACCAGACTAAAAATCAAAGTAGACGTGAAAGATGTTTCTGTCATTTCAGCTCGTTCTCATCTCTCTGATGTTTGTTCAAGTGTTTCTCATCAGTTTGGTTGAATTAGTTATTGATGATATAGAAACAGACGTCATGATTGACAGCTGAGACTGACTCCTGATTGGTTGACAGATATTTTGGCTTCATTTTTGTAGAATGAGAGAAACTGAAGATGCGTCGTCCATCTTTATTTATGACGTGACCTTGTTCACCGCTCGTGACTGATCATACCTCACATATATTTCTTACCGTGAACACTCGACTCTTCAGCTCCGGTTCTTGAACAGGTTTCTTTAGGATTCACAGAACCTCACCGCTACAGTGCGTTTGCAGTCGAGTCGTTGTGATGAAGGTTCATCAACAGGACGCTGCCCCCCCCCCCCGGCTGTTTATAGAGTTTCCTCTGACCTGCTGCTCTGAATGAAGCTGCTCTCTGGTCACATTAAGGCCATCGGCTCCTCACATGTGAATGGACGTCTTTTGTCTGGAGCTGATGTGAGTGGACGACGCTGCGGGCGGAGACATGAAGACAGAGATGACATCATGAGACTGATGTGAGGAACAATGTCTGACAATTTAACACGAGCTGAAAATAATCCAAACGTCTTTGTTCCTGAGGAGCGTGAAGAAAACACACAAACAGAAGAGGACGCATTCAAAATCAACGTGATGATGAATCTGACCTGATTCCAGCTAACAAACCTGAACATTGAGCGACTGAAGGACTGAAAACTCGGATTCTTTCTCACATGAATAAGTTTCCAGTTAAATCAGTCAACGTCTCATTGAGATTTTAAAAAATGAAAGACATCTTCTTCACAAAAGTTTTGTTTTGTCTTTGAGGGAATTCTTCATGTAGATCTGTGAAGGTAACCAAGTACTTTTACTCAAGTGAGTGTTTGAGGCGCTTGTTCCGTCTCATACTTCTGCTCTATTACAGTTCACATTGTGATCTGTTGTACTTTTTACTCCACCACAGATTTTAAATACAAATACATGAGTAAAACTATAATCATCGTACATTAAAGTTTTCGTCACAGTACTTGTTATAATGATCCAGTAAAACACGATGAGACATTCTGCACCATCTGCACTCTGGTACTTTAAGTCATATAATTTATAAATGTCATAAAAACACAGGACTTTTAACTGTAACAGAGTATTTTCACTCTAATAATAGTTACACACACAAACACACACACACACACACACAC